CACTGACTTGTACATCGGCTGGCCCCCGCAAGTCATTGTATAGGCCACATCGCATTCAAACGCCACTACGAATGTACAAATGGAAGTAGAATGCGTGCCGCATCCCAAAAAGGGATTGATCAACGGCAAATGCTTTATCCTTTACCAGTTTTGCTCCGCCCGCTATCGCGTGCATCACAGGACAGTCTTTAACGAAACTGGAGGACCACATATTCAGTGGTATCGAATAGCATAAAGTAGTCCTTCCAAAAAAGCTGATTAACCTGTCTGTGAGTTTTTCTACTAAAACAATTCGTTGTCCCGCTGCCGTCCCACAAACGTTGCAGCTTGATACTGAAGAAAAAACACTAACCTCGAATAAAGGAAAGATTGGGCTGCCAGTACGAAAGTAGATTCTGTAGGCTGTGCGAAAGCCATGTGACTGTCAGACATTCCCTTCTTTTCCTTCGTCAAGATTGCGCAAAACAAACTGCGGTTCCTGTTAACTAGCCCTGAAAAAGGCTTAATCACAGAATCCATACACTATATCATAGCAAATGTTTTAATTTAGAAAAATATGTAAATTACCAGTCAGACGAATTACACTACTGGTCATTGCACCGCGCTGGGGACAGCGCGGAACAAATAAGTCCCGCACTTTCAGCAGAGGATACCCGTTTTCATTGAATTGTGCCTCTATTTTCATTTCCCCAAAACTGACCGTATGTATAATTGGATACGGCAATTAGTACACTTGTTACCAATAATGGAGATCCTGGTGAATTAAAACTATTGGTGAAAAACTGTAAAAAAAAGATGGGTGGATGCGCACGCAACGGATGTCACTAACGTGCTAATAACAGTCCCGGAAAGCGAGAGCCGCGGGTTCTAGTCCCGCCTGGGGCGAAAGTTTTGTTCACAACCCAGCATTCTTGTGAACGTATGTAAACTATTCTATAGAGCAACAGCATCTGTTGACAACATCAGTAGGAAAATTGTATCAACTAATGCTCCAACTTCTCTCTTCTTGTAACCTCGGCATGTCAGTTGTAAGTTTGTTAAATTTCTTGTGCCTTACGAGGTTGTTCGGTGGAACATTTATTTCAATGGCCTAACGTTTCGACTGAATCGTCGTCTTCAGAGGCCGACAATTCCACCGTATGAGCAAGTCCGCTGACACACTAGAGCGCTAGTCAGTTGAAAATCTTATAAATTGACTGATAAATCACCTTTAAATAAATGTATTGACTAATACATTACCTTAAGTGATCCTTATTGGTAGAGCTTTTACAGGACGCCATACCACCTGGTCGCCTGCGTTATCACGAATACTTCAAATCACATGCAGCGAATTTTGCCATCGTATTGAACCTTGTCATTACCAACCTACAAGACAATTTTGAGCACACCTGTGAGGCCTTGCAGGTAAGAATTGTTACTGAATTTATTATTTTGTTACTATTGTACAGAATTGCAAAAATTCAAGAAGAAGATGGAAACACATCAATAGTAACAAGGGTTCGGCTGCGCCAGGTTCTCGAGTTTTACTCGGAAACGAGAAACCAACCTTGAAAGTTCAAGGTTGGTTTTTCGTTTCCAAGAATTGCTCCGATCCATGTAATATGTTCAAGACAGCTGGCACTAGATGAGCATCGCGTTGCGCAAATTAGGACCTCCCTCAAGATCATAGCGACCCCCTTTAATCTAGGACAATGTAATCAACAACGACGCCATGACTACCTGACACATACCAAATTTCGCTCCTTGAATTCCTCAAGGTTCGCAGTGTGCCATTTCGAGGTCGAGTGGAGGCAA